GCAGACTACAATCATCAGTAGTAGAGGTCACTCAAGTCAATTTCATTTGGCTTCATGTCTCTTATTGCTGTGTATATAAACTTGAAGTGAAAGACATGTCTTCTGCCAAATTTGCATCTGTGACAGACAGCTGTCCTTGGCGAGATATTTGTTCTGGGTGACTTCAATGCGGTATCTGACTCCGATCGAGCTGGCTGTGAGATGTCTGTTGGTCCTCATAGCTCAGGAGCTGACGCTGGCAGCGAGAATGGCCTCCTTTTCCGTGACTCTGCTAGGTCCCAGATATTGAGGATTTCTGGAGATCAACCACATCCTCGTTAGCACTCTTTGGAGGATCCTCAAGAACTGCAGGGTGTATCGAAGCACGGAACTGATTATAGATTAGTTGTGGCTTCTCTACAGGTCCACTTTAGAAGCCCCTGTCGTCCCAATAAACTCCCTAGGGTGCTTCATGTGGACAAAGTGAGGGAGGAAGAGTATGTCCAGGGGTTTGCTGAGGCTATCTCTGGTCGTTTCACAGCACTTGAGGGCCTGACAGAACCTGTTCTTCTGTGGGACACCTTCAAGCATGAAACACTTGATGCAGCCCAAGAATAGATTGGTTTGCAAAGGCTATCTCTGGTAGTTTCACAGCACTTGAGGGCCTGACAGACCCTGTTCTACTGTGGGACACCTTCAAGCATGAAACACTTGATGCAGCCCATGAATTGATTGGTAAACGTCCAAGAGCAAGACAGAATTCCATCTCGCAGGAGACACTGGAAGCCACAGATGCTTGTCGTGTGGCTCGATTGTCAGGGGATTGCAATTTGTAATGTTCTCTGGTGCACAGGACTAGGTCACTGTTGAGAAGGGATAAGGAACAGTATGTTAGGAATCTTGAAAAGGAGATCAAAAGCCATTTCCTAGTAAATGACATTCATCCTGCCAACCAAGCCCTGAGAAAGCTGGACTCCAAGCCCTACTCACAGACGACTGTAGTCCGCTCAGCAAGTGGCTAGATAATCTCAGATTCTGTTGGGGTGCGTGTGCATTGGGCTGAGTATTTTGAGAAGTTGTATCAGGTTGATCCACCAACAGTTAACTTAGAAGCAGGTAATGTTGAGATTCCTTTGCCAGACCCACCCATCAGCGAGGATCCACCCTTTCTGACTGAGGGAGCAGTCAAGCTTCTTCCATGTTAGTTTAAGTGTGAGGCAAGGCTGTGTTCTTGCACCAACACTTTTCAACACTTGCATAGATTGGATACTGGATAGAGCTACTGCCCAAAGTCACTGTGTAGCAACTCTGGGCAATATCAAGGTTACAAACCTTGACTTTACTGATGATGTCATTCTATCTGAATCTCTGAAAACCCTAGCGGTGGCTCTTGATGCATTTAGCAATGAAGTGAAGCAACAGGGACAAAGGTCTCCTGGACCAAGCCCAAGATCCAGAATTTTGGGGGCCTACTAGGAGACCCTGTGCAGTCGGTATATGCTTGTGGCGAAAACATCAAAGTCACAGAGAAGTTTATATACCTTGGTAGTGCAATTCATGACTCTAGGCTGTCAGACCAGGAAGTAAGTAGACAGATTGGCCAGCCAGCAAGGGTCATGAAATCTCTCGACAAGAGTATTTGGAGATGCTGGTACTTATGCAAAAGGACCAATCTACGTGTCTTCAAATCCCTGATACTGCTAGTTTTACTATATGGTAATGAAACCTGGATGCTATCTTGTGCTATGGAATCTCGTCTTGATGCCTTTTGTAACAGATCCTTGTGCCGGATTACGGGGTACAGTTGGCGGGACCATGTGTCCAACCAACGGCTGCACCATAAGACCGGTGCAGGTCCTGTTACTTGCACAATGCGCGATCGCCAATTCAGGCTATATGGTCACTTGGCTGTTCATGACAACCCTGGGTGGAAGAGGCCTGTGGGACGACCGAGGAAGTCGCGGCTTGGGCAGATTGATCAAACTTGTCATGAGGGACCCTTGTAGATGGAAGCAACGGGTGGATGTGGCTATGCGCCCCCACCGGCGTTAGCTCCCAAATGATGATGATATATTATATATATATCTTATATAAATACATATATATAGTATATATATAATATATATAATACATATATAATATATATAATACATATATAATATATATAATACATATATAATATATATATAATGTATATATAAAATATATATATATATCTATATATCTACACACACACACAGTATATGTGTGTGCATAAAAAGTAAACACGATACTAGATTTACAGGAGAAAATTAAGAAATGCTGATACTCACTTGTCTGGAAATCTTTCTTTCACCCACTCTGAAAGTTTCAGGTCTGTCATGAGGTCACCACAAACAGTGCCTGGGTCACTGCAGGCTTGAGAATGGCACCAGGTCAGCTGCATTCTAGAATGGAGAGAGCCACGAGGGTCACGAACAAGATGGACCACTCGCAGGTCAAGGCTTGGGTCCTGAAGAAGAGAGATCACAGGGGCCAAGCCCATCCGAACAGTTTTCATCACATTGACAGGCATGTACTTGCACACAGCAGACAGATATTCTTTGTCAAAACAGAGCGCTCTGTTTCTCGAGCAAGAATTCCAGACACGTGTATTGTGGTCCATCAGGAAACTATTATTCCGCATGTAGCTGACATACTCCTCTTGCTGAGAAAGGTCACATGTCATAATACTTCTCAGCAGATTTAAGACCACGTCAACCAAGGGGCCTTCCTGTAAGTGAAGATTCTTGAGCAAATGGTGCAGAGGCTCGAAACTGAAATATGTACCAGGGTAAGACTTCAGCAAGTCTCCGAGGAAGGAAGAACCGCTGCGCCAGGTGGAGAGGATGATGACCCTGCGCACCTGCAAAGGGGGGACCACTTCCCCAGGAGTGAAATCAGTGTCTGGGATGCTGTTCAGAAACTCCTTTTTGATGGTGTGGCGTAAGATGTTCTCGCCCATCTTCCAGAGTCCTTCATATGTCATCCGAGGAAGGACAACCCCTCGACTTGAGCCGCTGTTGCTCGCAGATGTCATTCCACGGTTCACCTTATACGTGCGTGACACCACAGATACACTAGAGGTGCGCGATTGTGCTAGTGGAGGGCTCAGGCGGACAACCTCCTCTATCATCCTCTGTTCCTCTGCCTGCTGGGCCTTCATTTCATTGGCGAGAATGCGATCCTGAAGAATCTGCTGTTCTCGCATATGGTGATCCTGTAAATGATTATTTTCTCTATGCAGTTCCTGTTGCTGGTCCAATTTCAGTTTGTCCATTTCTTGTTCTTGTACTTCGTTAGCAGGCACACTCTTCCTTGGTTGGCTGTGCTCCTCCTGAAGATATCGTTGCTGCTGTTGCAGTTGTTGCTTCTGGACCTGATCCTCCATAGGATCTCTATCTGAATCCTCCACCATGAGGACTCCTTGCTTGGCCAGTGCATCCCGCTCCTGTTGGCTGAGATGCAGGGGAAGCTGCGTTTGCACTGCAGACTCTGCTGCACCATGGAGATCCTCGGCTGCTGCGACACCATCTGCCTGGGCTGCCTTTCTCTCTTCACTTGGGTCTGTGGAGGAGAATAACGATTAAAGTTACCCATGATATATGTAACCATACCATGAATCCATAACACTGTCTGTCTCCGAATGTATTAATAGTCGACAGAACAAGCACTGCATGTAAACCCTCATCCAATAAGAAAAAGACAAACATGCTGTTTCCCAAACATACAATATACAATAGTATATTGTGATTTCTAAGGCACACTGACACTCGAATGCATGCGTGCGACAGATGGATAGATCAATGGATAGTTGAATAAATGGATAACAGTGGAGGTATTCCATCTTGTTAGATGGAACTGCAAATGAAGAAAGCATACTTAAGGTCTTTACTTCTTTATATTATATATATATAACACACACTCACACAGTCACACATGCACATACACCCACACCCTCTACTGTGTACATAAACACAATTTCCAGCCAATTCAAGGAATGAGGAAATCAGATTGTTCACTAGGGCCTACTAATGGACTCCTTTCCGGCAAGGTGTGGAGCCATATGCATTGTACAAAATTTACAAAGATCTACAGGGGACAGAACATAAACCCGTGGTGGTTGGGTTAAGGCTTATTGTCAGCAGAAGACAAGACTAGAGAGGATATTTGTATATTAAGGTTTAAATATTTAACCCGTTCTAGTGTCTTATTTTTTTCAATTTTCAGGGGAGACTACGATATTACTACAGATGCCACCTTTGCCATCCTATATATAAAGGGAGGGCAGGCTGTGGGGTTCAACGTCCACCTATTTGGTTCCCATGGGCTTTGTCACACAGGCTTCACACTGCGTTGGCGGCTGCCAGGGCGCAGGCAGGATGAATAACTCCCATTCCCATTCTGCACCCCAGCAGTCGCCCTCCCAAGGGGACCCACAGCCCGCCTCACTTGCTGGGTAAGAGAGACAGTAACCCTCCCCCCCAACATTACCATTTATATAAGAAGTTGCCAGTGAGTTTATATATATATATACATACACATATATACACACTGCATACATATATATATATATATATATATATATATATATATATATATATATATATATATATATATATGCACAGTATAAAGGTATATATATATATATAGAGAGAGAGAGAGAGAGAGACTGTATACACATACATACATATATATGTGTGTGTGTATTTACACACACATATATGTATATATAGAGAAAGACATCTGAACAAACATCTGTACCCTTTGAGCTTCTCATGCCAGTTTCACGGTGAGGCTTCTTCCAGCCGAAGGCGTTTCTCAGTAAAACTGGTAGTATACAATATATATGTTTAGTGTATGTGTGTAAGGCCTACACCACCAGCACACGCCATACATATAGAACTATTGCTTTATACAGTTACTACAGTAACATTACTTCATACATACCAAACCCTCTAATAGGGTCAACATCCACTGGTCTTCCACCTTGTGACATGGCTCTACTTACACGAACACATTCTCGCTCTTCTGCAAGGCTAGTAATTTTCCATGTAATTTTCCACCTGTATAAAAAAGGGTCGCCTGCGAGCGACAGGCAGACAGCCAGACCTCCTGGCCAGATAGAGTCTTTGACAGTCAGTTGTACCGTTCCCTTCAAAATAAACTGACGATATGCCGTCTGCATACAAACAAACCTCTCCAACATGTCTTCTTGTGAATTCCCGAGATCCAACACTTGATTGTACTTCATCTGACTTTTCTAAGATGTGTATCCAACATGTGACTCAACGACTCCATGTCAGTGTCCCTCGTGATACCCCTCCCCCCGACACATTCTTCATATCACATATATCCCTTCCCCCTTCCACTACACGACAAGATTTACACGCTAGCGTCGGAACACGACATAATTCTGAGGTCCAGTAACCACAACTCACATTCTCTCCTCTCTTCTGATGCTCTTTCTTCATGTTTCCTCGTCATCTCCGGATCGCAGGTTTGTTTTGACCAGTTGGGTGATCAGTGTCCATCCCAACCGACAAATAGAAGTGGTGTAAAAAGACCGAGACTCGGGCACACAAGACTGACTCATAGTTATGAGGGATGCCACGTTATGAGGGATGCCAAGAGGCACATGTAGTGGAAAGATGTGCAACATCCTCAGACCAAAGACGTATGTACTTGCCTCCCCCATGCACATTAATAAATATATCGAGGGAGGATTGTAACATGGGTAAGGGAGAATAATTTTTCAAACAAAATTTAATGATGCCCAATATTTATGGAATAATCCTACACTTATAAAAAATAATATTTATACTTTAATATTTTGTATAATATTGCTTGTTTTTACTTATAAGAGACTTTATTGATGGATTTTTACATGTTTTAAACATTTTAATATTTTAATCCCACATTTTATTCGCCCCTGTCTTTAGCAGATAATTTTAAATAAATAGTCAAGATATTCTGTTAACAGTAATAAACAAGAACATATCCAAATAATGAAGAGAAAGTGAAAATGTCAATGGTTTTATAAATCTCGTAGCAATGATTACTGATAATTATGATAAAAGAAGTTTGCATAACTATAAACGCTATGATTTGTTTCACCAGAATATGAAGAGGGAGTACTTCAGTCACTGGTATTTTCGACTGCAACTTAGGAATAAGATAACATATGTGTATGTGAATGTTTATTTATATATAGACATCAATAAACGCAGTTCGCAATTAATGTTTCTAAACTTGCAGGACAACATCCTTGTCAAAAATAAGGGACAACTGAATGCAGCTAAATGTAGCGTGACTTTTTTTTTTGCACATTGAAATTTAGTTCGGCTGTCGTTGATAATATCTTCACACAAACTAATGAGATAATAAAGAAATTTCATAGTATTTAGATGTATTAGTCAAAGAGCATAAAAAAAGAATTCGACCTTTATTTTGCAAGTGACCGGTGTCATGTTAAATGTCAGATCCTTCAGGCCTTTGGAATGCCGTTACATCATGCCTAACAAGGCATAATTCAAAGGGCAGTTGAATAATTACACTTTAAGACTTATTGCTTCGTTTAACAAGCTGTGTAAAGACTATGAATCATGACCAGCAACACGAATAACCGTGAGCGAGCCATGGCATATTCCAGCGGGCGAGTCGCGTGACCTGATTTTGGCACACCTTGTCCTTTCATTCTCTCCATCCGTAAGACGCATACACACACACATGTACGCGGATGCACACGTATATATACACACAAACATAAACACACACGTCCACACATATAGGCAAACGCACTCGTCCAAAAACACACACACACATATCCATAATCACATATACATATGTGTGTGTGTGTGTGTGTGTGTGTGTGTGTGTGTGTGTGTGTGTGTGTGTGTGTGTGTGTGTGTGTGTGTGTGTGTGTGTGTGTGTGTGCGTGCGCGTGCGTGCGCGCGCCTTTGTATGTGTATAAAAGGTATGAATGAGAATGTATGTCTTCACAATACAAGAGATGTATTTGACCGGTTTCGATTATATTTTCGTCAGAAATACATGATATTTAATGTATTTCTGACGAAGATATAATCGAAACCGGTCAAATACATCTCCTGTATTGTGAAGACATACATTCTCATTCATACCTGTGTGTTTGTGTGTGTGTGTGCTTATATACATATATAATCCATATATATGTGTGTATATAAATACACACACACATAAATATGTATGTATATACAAACACACACTAATAAATGTATGTATGTGTGTATATATATATATATATATATATATATATATATATATATATATATATATATATATACGAATATACATATAGAAGTTATCATCATCATATAATTATTAAAGAATCATTATTTCCACTGTACGATTTACGCCCGTGTTACAAGTTATTATAAGGGTGACCCACTGTGTCCCTCATCCCTTAATAGTAATACAAGATCGCGCCCTCACCATCATCCCTCAAATTATCGGAAACTTGAA